GACTAGTCTCAAGGAAACTTAATTAGATGTTTTTAGCATTTGTACACTTTGAGTATTATCAGAGCCTAAGGTTTGAATGGTCACTTATTTCTTTGTCATTTCGTTATTCTTGTGATGAAAGACCATTTCACCAATTAGTGATGATTGTTGTTGTTGTTCAGAGCTGTCAAGTCAATTCTGAGTCACAGAGACCCTATGTAGGGTCTCTAAGGAGCAGCTGGTGAGTTTGAACCACCAACCTTGCAGTTCAAACCAACCTTGAGGTCAAGTAAACCACACCAAGATGTTGTTGATAATGATGGTGTTGATGACTGCTATGTTGCATCTCTCAGGAAAAGCTGTGGGGATGGAGGGACTGCTCAGTTTCTTCATTCCAACTAACATGCCAGTCAAAAGCTCAAGTTATGAAAATTAGCAAAATTTGTATGCAAAATTCATCATATACAGAGGTTATGGGCATAAGTACATTCTACTTGGGTTGTTATGGAAACATTTGTGTGAGTTTAGTATGTTCTTCATACAGTCAATTCAGCCAATCATTTCTACATATAATATTCTTCTATTTCCTTTTAAGACTCATAGAAAGCTGGGTTCTGAGATGAATTGTTGTTGTTGTTAAGTGTCATCGAGTTGGTTCTGACCCATAGCAATCCTATATAGGGTTTCCAAGGAGCAGCTGATGACCTTAAACCGCCAACCTTGTGGTTCCAGCCAACATTGCAGTCTAGTGTATTAACCCACAGTGTTACACCAGGACTCCAACTGATGAGTAGGCCCATGCTTAATGTGAACAAGATAAAAAGTAAATGTAATGATAATATGCTGCTAGTTAGAGAGGTATGTTAGCTGATTACACCTGAAGTAGATAATTTATCTCATCCACAAGTCCTAGCTAAGGAGCTCTGATAGCCTAGTGGTTACGAGTCAGGCTGCCAACCTCAAGGTCAGCAGTTCGAAACTACCATTGGTTCCGTGGGAGAAAGATGAGGCATGCTACTCCTGTAAAGATTCTGCTCCCAGAAACCCTGTGCAGGGTCACTATGAGTCGGAAGCAACTCCACGGTACTTAACACCAACAAGTCCTATCTGAATAAACTAGGAGGTGCTTAAGGTAAAATTTTCTCTAGAATCACTTGCTTGTGGAGGTAACTTTTTTTCTCTCCTTTCCTCCTTCCTTTGATTAGAAGAAAGTGCTTTGACTAATCATTGCTTATCAACTAGAGTTCTCTCTCGGTGTGTACGA